ATAAAGGAGTTGAATTACATCTATCAGTCCGCCCTTTCTCTAAGTATTAGGGCAGAGGTCATATAAAGGAGTTGAATTACATCTATCAGTCCGCCCTTTCTCTAAGTATTAGGGCAGAGGTCATATAAAGGAGTTGAACTACGTCTATCAGTCCTCCCCTTTTCTAAGTATTAGGACAGAGGTCATATATAAGAGTTTACCTACATCTATCTGTCCGCCCTTTCTCTAAGTACTAGGGCAGATGTCATATATAAGAGTTTACCTACATCTATCTGTCCGCCCAAATGACTATGTTTGTCAATCTGTCTCTGTGCTCTCGATGTCTGTCTATTTATGTTTCTATGCGGTTATATTTATTTCTTTGTCTGTCTGTCCAGCAATCTTTTTTAACATGTATGTATGTATGTGTCAGTCTATATATCATTTATTTTCTTTCCTTAAATTTAGCTAACAGCAACAAATCTTATTCAGTTCTTTTACACATGAGATTTACTTTACTTTACTTTAATTATTATTTTCATCTTTGGGGAAGAAGGGGAAATATTTTTAGGACCAATAAAAGAAAATAATATGACGTTCAATAGTTGTTGATGAAGATGCTTATGATCATGAAATATACAATATTTTATAACAATTGTAGAACTATTGGTAAAACAACTTTCACAACATCATACATATATTTTAATTCAATCCTAAAAATCCTTTTTTATTAGTTTTATCGATCGGGATGAAATATAACATCTTTCATGGTCCATTGTTTAGCTTTGTGCTAAAATAAACAATATCTGTAAGTCTGTAGTTAGATTCGTCTCAAACGTGTCAATGTAAATATCTAACTGTATGTCCAACTAAATTTTCCTGTGCTTATCAGTCTCAATATATGTACTGCCTAATCTTATTCAGCGGGTACACTTAGACCTTTAATTATATATTTTATCTATTGGGCTATGATGGATTTTTTATCAGTATTTTTTATTGATGTCTGCCAGTGTATAGATATCTTAAATATTTTAACCCAGTCCAACAAAATAAGTTTAAACTGTGCGTTTAAGGTTTTAGTAGAGCTTAAACAAATAATTTCAAACTATGTGTTTAAGGATTTAGTTGAGCTGAAACAGGTAATTTCAAACTGTGTGTTTAAGGTTTTAGTAGAGCTGAAACAAGTAATTTCAAACTGTATGTTTAAAGTTTTAGTAGTGCTGAAACAAGTAATTTCAAACTGTATGTTTAAAGTTTTAGTAGTGCTGAAACAAGTAATTTTAACTA